TTTTTTGTGGGGAAGCGTAAAAGATAAATGCTACACGTATGGCCTATCGTGAGATAATACCGACGACTTTGGAAAATGTACTGAAAAATTGGGACGACAGAATCGGCTACGTCAAGCTCAGCCGTGGCGCGCATATGAATGAGATTGTGTTTCATCATTAATCGGAAGGATAGTACTCTCAAATAAAAAAAACCCGTTTAGCCATCGATTTAAAAATTAACCAACAGATGGATCGCCCTTTACTACGCTGAGGATAGTATGAATAAATATCTTTGATATAGTATGCAGCGCTACCCACAATGACGAAATGATTGTTTGACTACCGTGATGGGATGTGTTATTTTAGTGAGAATGCTGCATTTACACGCATTAATACTGTCTAGCATTTCTGCCTGAGTGTGGCTACAAAAGCTTTCTCCTGCCAATCCTGGTCTGTCGAGAGGAGTGGTAGGGGATAAATAGAACCTCCTGAGATTCTGAAGGGGGTGGGTATGGAGTAGCGCAAATGTTTAAGCATTTGGGAAAACTCCTACGTTCTGCGCCAGATTTGTTGTGTGAGATAATACGCTGAATTATAAAAATACTAGGAGAAGTGTTTTTGGTAGTCGCAGGGAAGACAAAACTCGAAGCTTATGACACCAGCTTCAATACGTTTTGCCCCTTGAAATATGTATTGGCGACGGTTTTTGCACCTCAGCTTTTCTAAATACTATTTTCCCAAGTTTATGAGCGTGGCAAAATATAAAATCACTCCCAAATCCTACCTGTAAGCAAAACACTGTGGATGTGAACCTAGCCTTACCAAGCATACTACTACTCTATTGTGTAGCCTCAGAAGCGAACATGCATTTTAGAGGTTAGAGTTAATCTAAGATGCAACCCTGAGGGAGCAACCAGTCCTACTGCGAATATGAATAAGTATTGAGTTATTATATCTAAATTAGCATTCGAGGACAGCTGTACACGGCCTGATGGAGTTAGCTGATGTGCAGAATTAGATTTAATCGAGACGTAAGGCCGTGTGGCTCAGTTTGCAAATCAACAATGATGCCGCGGTACTCTGTGACGATGCTTTTGGAATTAGGTCTGGAGCTGGTAGATAAAGGATGGTAATATAAACACCCCAAGGGATCTTTGACTTTCATGTACGTTTGAGCTTTGACACGAAGACATTTGTTTTAGCTTGTAGAAGTTTAAATCATTAAGGCCGTGTTGTTCAGTTTGCAAATCAACAATGATGCTGTGGTACTCTGTGACGATCCTTTGGAAGTTAGGTCTGTAGCTAGTGGATAAAGGAAGGCAATAGGAATACTCAAACGTATTTAGCTTTCATATCATCGAGCTTTCACACGAAGTAATTTGTTCTAGCTCGTGGAAGTTTAAATCAGGAAGGATTCGATTTATTGTGAACACGAATCGTCAAAAGGGAAAGGGGTTAAGCTATCTGTCCAGATCTAGTAGGTACTTTTTGCCGTTTAACATCGTCACTCTGACAAACACAGGTAAAACAGCATGCTTTGTGACAAGCCATTGACACATGATCTCCAGTGCCTGTCTCATTAACGGGTGGTCATAGACTTGGCTCGTTTATAACCATCATGTCAAAGGATGTTGATGATCTCTTCTACATGATGCCGTAAGTAGGTTGACTCTGAACTTCCCACGCAACGCCGTTATTAGCTCATAAAGGATTATGTTCAGCACAAAATAGTACCTCTGAGAAAAAAGTCAGTCAAACAGGTCCTTACAATTAGTCCGTAAACATTCTTTTCCCTCCCTACCAGTAGTGCACCTGGAAACCTCGCCTCTCCTTGATACTTAACCCCGTTTAGACGTGGCAGCGCGGGTAGAGCATAGGAAACGCTACGTTGTGGTGCGGCAGATATACGAGGAATACCATACCACAACAACAGAACACTCACCAAGGCTGGCGGCACGCCGACTGGAGCAGCAGTCGCTGACGGTAGGTATGCGATCCGTCTGCTGAGCATATTTGTAAGGGTTAATGTACGGAGAAATCTATGGTGAGTGAAATATGCATAATGTGTGGATAGGATTACCGAAGTTGGGAGCGTATACATGTAAAAACTACCAAAAATTCAGACAAACCTCTCCTACCCCCCTACAAACCCTGCCTTCAAGTTTTTTTACCTCTAAAGTTTTTTCAAAAATGATAAGGATTCCCTGAAACGTTAAAAAACAAAGTTTGAGTTGTTTTTATCTCTTTTTGTTTTTATCCTTTTCCTCTGCCCTCACTGGACCGATTTCCAAAAACTACAAAGTACAAAGTAAAAGTGACATTGCGTAAATATTTCATCCAAATCTGAGCGGTGCTCCTCAATTTATAGCCGGATATAAGATTAGCGATCACACCGACAGATCGACGGCAATGAAGGACATCGGTTTTCATGATGTACGTGTCATATATAGTATCATCCAAAGAACATGATATCTTATTTGTAAAAATTTTGGCGATTACAATACTTCGCCGCTAGAAAGTAACAAGCCGCTCAGGTAATAAGCGTCATGTATTGCAAATATTATATTTATTAAGTTAATTTTTAATGTTTTACATAAGATATATTTACTGATGCTGTATTCCAAGTTCTTGGTTTTAACACTTCGGTGTGCATTTGCCAGGCCATCCTCTTGTCAACAGTGTCATCAAGATGCTTGACACAATTTTCTCATGGACATTTATAAGCTCTAACACATTACAATATGCTAACAAAGAGTACACGTCCTTTAACTTTGAATATAGTGCATAAATAACCCCGGCTGTTTGTCACGCCAATGACTGTAGTAATATTGATGTAATCTTTCAGACGTCATTAGTAAATGTTTAATGTCGCAAAGCTGGAACAAATCGATGCCCGTTAGTCTGATGGGTGCAACTTACGCAAATGTATGATCAATATCAGAAACAATCACAATACAGGGAACAGGCGACGTCTTTTCAGAACCTTTCTTTCAGGGACATTTACAGGCGTGTTCAAGCATTGCAAATTAAATTTGAACTGGTAGGCCAGCCGATGGAGTTTAGGCACTGTTCTCACCAGGAACAGCTTGGCGGCAACTCAACTTGAACTACAGTTCCTCTAGAAGCTTTCTAACACTGTTGTGTACCACAATTTGCTGAGCGGAACGGTAGCTGACGAGTCATAATAACATCGACAGATGATATCTCTTTTCAACTAGTGGGCAATTGCAAACCGAGTTCTGCCAGTACCGTCAACTGTTTGCGTAGTCGTGTTGCGATTGCCAGTTGCCTTTGCTCAGGACGGTATTTGACTCTCTGTGGTTTCTCATTCGTCATTTCGAAATCTGAACATAGTTTTTTTTCTAGGATGTAAAGGGAGCACGCGGAGTGAAGTCCCCAAGGTGCGAAGTGTCGCGTCCAGGTACGTAAAAAACTTATATAATTTAAAAATAAAAAAATGTCAACTTGAAGAGTAGATAGTTCCTAGTATGTAAGTAGTTCATTCCGCGTTTATTCACTATGAGCGTCAGCAATACCGTCATCTATAGACGAATGACTCAACGACAGGGTCAATGTTCCCTAGCATGCTTTGTTGGTTGCAGAATGCCGAGATAGTCTGTAGCGTACATGTCTGAGATGTGTCAGAAATAAAATTGGTTGAGTAGCAAGATTGCATTTGGATGATTGTGTGGTGATTGTGTGTATATGTCTGGTGATAATTGAAAAAAGAAAACAGAAATTTTCCGTGGCCGTCTTGAGTCCCAGGGCCCGACACGCATAAACTGACTACACTGGGCGTCGTTAAAGCTGTTGACTATCAACTAACAAATACGAACAGCCGTCGTAGACAACGAGCTTAGATGAATTTAGCGATAGCGGGCGCTAGCTCATGGTGGTCCTAGGGGACGTAGGAGTCTGTGGGAGCAAAGTAGGACTTGACGTCTGAAAAACCTGAACATAAAGTATTCTTTACCGCCCAGTCGTCAATTGACTTACGGCTAACATACGGCTACTAACCATTCATTTATGGCACTACCGCTGATAGCCTAGCAACGGATAAAGGATAGTTCCTCTGATCGCCGTTTTGTTTTTAACTTAGGTTAATTCAGCCATTGCGGGGCGCAAAAAGATTTTACTTAATTGACAACACGTCATATTTTTGCTCGTGAAAGTTTTCAAGTATTTCAATAGAAAACCCGATTTAAAAACATGGAGATAGACTCTGGAGGTCAAAGTAATGATCCCCCAGCGTCCCAGATGATGAATGGACCCAGCCAGAAGGAGAGAACAGAAATTACCAAGAAATCAAACGAATTGATGAAACCAGCTGTAGCAGACGAAAAGGACGGAACCATCCAGCGCCAGACCCTGATCATCGAAAGCCAGGACCAGCAAATAAAGGAGCTGACTGAGACCATGAAATCAAAGGAATTGATGACACCAGCTGTAGCAGACGAAAAGGACAGAACCATCCAGCGCCAGACCCTGATCATCGAAAGCCAGGCCCAGCAAATAAAGGAGCTGACTGAGACAGTTAGGGATCAAAACAGTAAAATAGACTGCCTGACCACCCAGGTAACACAGTTAATCAATAATGCAAATTTTAATTCTAAATCTGACAAGGCTGTCAATTTAAAAAGACCTCTTGAAAATTTAACTGACGTGACATCGACCGAAGATGAAATACAGAATGACGGATTCATCCAGGCCAAGTCTAGGAAAAGACGGATCGACAAAACGAACAAAACCGACAAGACGAATGACTTCCCACCTCTTCCAAAAGCAAAATCAAACTTCAAGTTGACAGCCCCCTCAAAACCTTCTGCTTCATTAAACGTATCAACTTCTTCTGCCACTTGTCCTTTGACAAGGTCCCTTCAACAAATAATAAGTCCCCTGATTAGCGCCACTCAGGCATTGCAGGCGATCTTTCCGCAGCCATTGAATGGCTAAGTACAATAGACAACCTGCATTTATCATCTGTCAGGTATCTTTGAGTCATCATTGACAAGGGGTTGACCTGGCAGAAACATACTGATATTTTGAAAACAAAATTCCAAATTACCTTTCGCCAGCTTTATCCTCTGTTGTGCAGAAATTCAAAATTAAGCTTGATCAACAAGATTCGGTTGTATAAAATGGTCAAAGACCCAAAATCACCTACGCATGCGGGGCTTGGTGTTTTCTTGCCAAGACGCACATGCAAGGACTGCAAGTCCTGCAAAACAGAACCGTACGCACAATTACTAACGCCCCTTGGTACGTGTCAAATGAGACTATTCACAGAGATCTTGATATAATATATTTAAGGGATTTACATAAAACAACAGGCGCAGTGGCGTTATAATCAAGCGGAATCGCACAGCAACCCTCTGTTGCGTGATTCAGTAGACTACACAGTCGAGCAAGTTCGCAAACATTCCAGGCCGCGCCTTGCACTGTGATCAAAATTATTTCAGGATACAAAACCGATCAAAATTATTTTTTGGAGTTACAAAATAATCCGAGTAGTCAAAGCAATAATGCTTAAGCTATTTCAAATGATTTACCTCTTTTCTTTGCTCTATTTCTTCCTTCCTTTCTTTCCTTCTTTTTCTTTTCCCCTTAAACATGTTTGGTATCTGGGTAGCTAGACCTGACAGACTAACAGACCGACGAGTCTTTTAACTAAGAGCAAAGGTCCACCGGACCGCTCTGACGAATAATGACGAATAGTATAAGATTTTACTTCTTAACTTACACTTACACATGGGCTGAAAAATGGGACCTGGTGCCCACAAAATGAATCATCTGATGGGGAAAGGCAGGCAAAAATCAAAGAACGAAGACCCGTTTTCACAGGGGACCTACTCGGACTCAATAGGAAGGACATAAGGGACAAAGTGGGTCTCCTGACAGGATACGGTCATCTAAATCGAGATATGAGATTCTTGGGTCTGGCAGAAGAGGCGATATGTCGTTGCTGCAGAGAGCATCCGGAAACCCCAGTGCATCTCCTGTGTCACTGTGAAGGCCTGATGGTGAGCCTACGGTTTTAGATAGTAGTAACAACAGGTCCAACAGCGGAAAGCCACATACAATGGCCTTTATCAAGGCTATGGAATCTAATCCAACGTTCAAGGCTGGACCCTGTGCTTTAGAAATTATATAGGGGCTCACAATAGATCCACTTGGGTCGCAGTGACGTTGAGGCTGGGAAGCCAACCGCTCACTTCTGTAATCTGTACCGTCTGATTGTAGATAAAATTTCCAATCATTTCGTTTCTTATTAGTGTATGTTCGCAAATACTTTAAACACTATTGTTCTATATATATATATATATATATATACAGGGTTGTCCAAAACGGACGCAGGAAAGTAAACGCATATTAAAACAAGAAAGATTGATATTCAAATCAAGGTACTTTATTTTGAAGGTTCATTTATACCATTTATGTATGAGAAATAATATCGCTCAAATGTTCACCACGACTGGATTTACAGACGTCCACGCGATGTTCGAAATTTTCAATGACATTTTGCAACATGGTCGGTTCTATGGCATTTATCTCGGCAATGATGTTGTTTTTGAGTTCTTGGAGGGTGGCTGATTTGTTGACGTAGACTTTGCTTTTCAAATATCCCCATAAAAAGAAGTCCAAGGGAGTCAAATCGCACGATCTTGGTGGCCATGGCACATTTCCTCTGCGCGAAATCACGCGATCACCTAAGAAGGACTGCAATCGATGGATATTGACGTTGGTTGTGTGGAATGTTGCACCGTCTTGTTGGAAATAAACATCGTCCATATCCATTCCTTCAAGTTGCGGCAAAAAATAGTCCTCTATCATCACGAGACGGTAACGGCGTCCCCGGCCGCATTTTCGAAAAAGTAAGGTCCGATGATGCCTTTTGACCACAATGCACACCACACAGTCACTTTTTGAGGATGTATCGGCTGCTCTTGATACTCACGGGGATTTTCGTTCGCCCAGATGCGGCAGTTTTGCTTGTTTACCGTCCCATTCAAAGTGAAATGCGCTTCGTCGCTGAACATGATTTTTGATGAAAAATTGGCATCAATTTGGCGGTGTTCAAGGAGCCAATCTGAGAACGTTCGGCGCGAAAAATGGTCGGCTTGACGCAGCTCTTGCGTCAATTGGGTCTTGTAGGCGTGTACATTCAAATCCTTGTGGAGAATGCGGAGCAAACTGGTTCTCGAAATGCCCAATTCTTGGGATCGACGCGTTGTTGATTGTTTCGGATCGTCTCTCACACTCTCCTTCACAACAGCAATATTTTCCGGTGTGCGAACGCTCCTTGGCCGGCCAGAGCCTGGCAGATTTGCCACAGTACCTGTTGCCTCGAATTTACGCACCAGACGACCGATGGTTGTTTCGTTTGGGCGGTTGTTGCGACCGAAATGTTCACGAAGCGCGCGAAACGTGTTTTTTATTTTTGCACCATTTTTGTAGTGCTCTTGAATAACTTTAATGCGGTCTTCAATCGAATACGACTCCATAGCGATCAATGGTGAACATTCAACTAACAAAATGACATGTCGGTGACAGAAAACAAAGTTGGCGTCTATGTCAAATTGACGTTTACTTTCCTGCGACCCTATTGGACAACCCTTTATATCTAAGTGAAATACTTTTCTTGGAGATATCGACAAATTATGCTAAGCGTACCCTTTCGGCTAGAGAACTTTCTCTGTGTAGATCCTTTGGGCTTAAAGTACCACAGCAACTGGCTATAACCGGCCGCATGGTTAGATGTCTCCTTGAAAATTCGAGGTCTTCTAGCCATTTTATATTACAATGTGTAGGTTGGCTGTTGTTGTGGACTTCGTGTGTCGTTTTTACCCTCTCCATCTTCATTTCCTCAGGTTACACCCGTATGCGGATGTGTGGACATGTGTATCTACTTTTGTAGTTGCATATGTGTATTTATTTCGGAGCGGATGAAGCTAACCAGCAGAAATACGTATCGCTCGGGTTACCTATCCTATTTTCTGCTCGAATCCACTTTCCTCCTATTTGCGGATTTTACCCATTATTTTCCTACTTTTTGTTATATACCTTTCTCCGCAAGATCATTTTCTCTTTTAATATATATATATATATATATATATATATATAGTGCTTTCATTTAAGGTGCCCCTCCCCTTTGATTTTTTGAACGGATCTATTCAAAAAATTAAAATTTGAAGCAATGAAATTGATGCGTGGATACCATATTTTAGAGTAAAATTGACAGATGAAAATGTTAAGATGGCCGCTGGGCGCCATCTTGGAAAAAAGAATTATATGAAAACGGGGGTCTTGTGGCACATCATTTTGAACCTCCTGACGAGTACTTTATAACCCTAGAATATAAAGTCAATACTTTTACGTACTACAAAATGGTGATACACTTATTAATTACTTGAACACAAACCCACTAACATGCATATCTTTACAAATAATTGTAATTCTCTGCCGTATCCACAGCAACAGCGACAAAAACTTGTTTTGTTATTTTTTGTTGACAGTAACAAGAATATCAGTACGAAAACAAACATCATGGTACAATTAAAATATTCGTACTATTTTAGTTTTCGGTTTTAGTGCTAGATACTATTTGAACTATTTTTAAAGTGGTCAATTCTTGACCATTGGAAGAAAAAATCGAAGCGATTTTTAATTATGGTGCGGTGCGTAACTTCCACGAGACCGAAAGGACTTTTAATGATCGTTTCCCGACTCGTACTATCTGTAGAAAATATTTAAGGGAACATGTACATAATTTACAGCTACTGGTAATTTAAACAACAAAAAGCTCCCAGGTCATCCGACCATCCCGGAAGAAAATCAAGTTCAAATAATTGGTGAGATCATATTAAATACCCAACAGTCTACCTCCTCCATCGCGAATGTATGTGAGGCTTGCCCTTCTCCTGTATGGAGACTTTTGAAAAAGAATAAGTATCACCAATACAAAACTCAAATGGTACATCAGCTAACTGAATATCACCCTGATCGAAGAACAGAATTCTTCGAGACTATGACGGAAACCATTGCACGGCATCGTACCTATATCCAAAATATTTGTTTTACTGATGAATGTATATTTTTTCTCAACGGTAATATGCATAGAATTCTCGTTATTGGTGTGACACCAATCCTCACGTCTTCCGGGAAACTCATACTCAATATCCACAAAAAATTAACGCTTGGGCTGGGAAATTGGGAAATCATATTGTGGGGCCTCTATTCATCGAACAAACTTTAGCCGGGGAACTGTATTTGGATATGCTGGAAAATACTATTGACCCTCTTATCACCGTAATCGTCGAAGCGAATCCTAATGAATTCGATACTAATATTGTATTCCAGCAAGATGGTGCTCCAGCACACTACTCCAGATAAGTTAGGAATTATTTAGATAACAATTTCGCCGGTCGTTGGATTGACCGTCGAGGTCCTGTGGAATGGCCAGCTCGCTCGCCAGATTTGACACCCTTAGACTTTTTTTATGGGGCTATTTGAAGCAAAAGGTGTACGAAACTGAACCTGCTTCAATATTGTATATATATATATAGAAGGCAAATTATTGCAAAATTACACTCTTATAACTTAAATTCTCACGCTTTCGAAGATCTGTGTCTTCATCGTCTGGAGTAAGTTGATTGATGCTGAAATTGTTTTTAAACAACAGTGAAGGGAACACATCGTCGACGAATAAAAAACTGGACTAATGAGGTTCGATTAGGGCGGAATTAATTATTTTATTATTAAATGGCAAATCATTTTGAAAGGTGTTTTTTTAATTAAACGTTAATTGATTTTGGAAGAAATTTGGAAAATTTAAAACTATCAACTACTGAAAATTCCTTCGAGATTTCATCTTTTTTTTCCACTAGTAACCTCCACATGTGGAGGAAATCTCGAAGGAATTTTCAATAGTTTTAAAATTTCTAAATTTCTTCTAAAATCAATTAACGTTTAATTAAAAAAACCTTCCAAAATGATTTGTCATTTAATAATAAAATAATTAATTCCGCCCTAATCG